AATGGGAAATAGGATATTGAGTAATATTTCTTTGAAAAAAAAAAAAAAAAATAATAGGGGCACGCATACAATAATAAAATAAAACGAGCTAATCTAATTTCAGAAAAGCAATTCGTATCCGCGAGATCGTTTCAATATATAATGAGAGTATGGCAGCATTTGAGCCCCGCGTCAATTATTCCTCGCACGGGTTGTTTCTTCTTTTTTTTTTGCCCCCCCTTTATGTACGTGCGTATATCTCGCTCCTCCAGATTGGAGGCGTCAAGAAGTTAGTCGCTTATTTATCAGTAACCTGCCGAAATCTAGGACGTCTTGCCACCCTCGCCCCCTGGCCAAGCCCACCACCCCGTGGGCAGTCGGGGCAAAATTGGAAAGAAGCCCAAACGCGACCGGCCACCTATAACCAGAAAACTTATAAGTAAACAACGCGATGAAAATTTGTACTGTCGGTAAACAAAAAGCTTCAATGCGTCACACGGTCATGTCGCACGGGCACGAGAAGAACGCGGTGTGAACAACTTGACGTGTGAAAATAAGAGAACAGGACTGAAATGGAAGAGGGTGACCAATCGTCATGGCCAACCTCAAAAGCTTCTACCGCATGGGTTTCCTCAGTCTTTGTGATATTAAAATTGGCCAATTGCAAGGAGTGGCCATCCGCTCCCTTCTGTGCACTGGTCTTGTTTATCGTGTATTTGTTAACCCCGTTTGCTCACTCTCTCCCTCTCCGTCTCCCTCGCTCTCCTTGAACGTCGTGCACGAGTGTGTAACGGTGATGTGCGCATTTATCCTCAGCTAGCGGAATCCCGATAACTGATAACGGTTTAGTACGGTACTTCGAGAGAGGAACGAAAGAGTAAAAGAAAACAAAGAAAAGGGGGGGCGGGGGCACAGGAGGCCTCGACGATGATAGCGAAGAGTAAACCGTGACACCTAACGAGCGCGTCTGGCTCTCGCTGGATGCGTAAATCCTCGAGGGAAAGAAAGAAAGAAAGAAAAAGCTCAGCTTCTACGAGTCAAGATAAGTCGGGCCTGTCGATCAAAGAAGCTTTCGCCGGAAACATGATCGATCGGATCAACGGCAGGGTCGCTACCATCTACTCGCACCCCCTTTTTCTTTGGTTTCACTTCTCTCGAACTGCCATCGCATCCCCCTCTAATTGTAACTGGTGTGCGTGGTTGCCAGGGTGCGTGCGCGCGGGTGTTCGTGTGCGTGGACGTGGATTTGTGCATGTCCTATTGCGCGTCTCCAAAGTTTTCTTCCCAAAGAGAGGGAGCGAGTGTCTCTCAAACAAAAGTGAGAAGTGGTTATTCACAAAGGGTCGGTGCGCCGACAATCACCGTCGCGGCGCCGACGTCGTCGTACTTGAACGATCAGCCACAACGCACCCTCGCTTAAAAGAAAAAAAAAAAAAAAAAAAAAAAAAAAAAACTC